CTTCTGCTTCCAACTTTGAAAATCTGGTTTTCACCAGATCATAAGTGACAGAGTCATATAAGTGTAGTCGGAAGAAAATGGAAATGTTCTGTTTCTTCTGACTTTGATTCTGTCACCTGTAGACTTTGCTTATGACCCCAATTATTTATTTTTGCTACGTCATAAATGCTGTTAGGACTCTGCTTACCACTCTAGTGCTAATTAAAACCAGCCTTAATCAGTTTTAACAGGGACGTGTGTCTGACCTTTTCATCCTCCTCTGTCATGCATTTTCTAGGGGAAAAATCTTGTTACCCTAAACTCTCTGTGCTTATGGTGTACTTGAACATGACTATATTACAGAATTATTGGAATTCCTTTATACCGTAAACTGCTGCTTATGAGCCCTGGGCTTATACAAGTTCATAAGGGGTTTTGGGTGGGCTGATAAACTGGGGGGCTTATAAGCGGACGAAAAAAAACGTTTCGAAATGAGCAACAGCACTGTTAATTGACGTATGATTTAAATTTATGACTCTTACGATTGAAGCCTTAAGAAGGCAGCAATAAATCGCATTCAGTTAAATTTCGAAACAAAATTACAACTGTAACATAAGAAAAACTGGAGGGGGGCTTATATCTGGATGGGCTTATGATTGGATGTATTTTTTTGTTTGCATGTACTGTAGGTGGCCTATAACCAGGGGGGCTTATAAGCGGATGGGCTTATAAGCTGCAGTTTACGGCATCCTGCCACAGGGAGCCCACTTAAGAAATCATTGCATCATAACATAATAAATTTGATACTCCCATACATTTTCTCTAAATTCAAACATTAGTCATTTAGAAGAGGCACAATTTGTGTGGGTAACCTGTGGACAAAAGGAGGCTCTGCTCACCAGGGAACCCAACACTATAAACAGACTTACAATGCTCCTTAAGAAATCTCAATGTGTCTCTATATCCTTGCCGACAAATATCACTCATCACATCTTCATTGGGTGGAAACAGCGCACAAGAAAACCGGTAGAAATTGTGCAGAGTGAACTGCATGCTGGTGTTCTTTAATTCAATGTGAACATCATTTGATGAAGTGTCTCGTGGACAGATATCACTTTCACCACTAAATGGTGACACTGTGATGGTTTCTCCTTCCTTGAAGTGCTGCGGAAGGTTGTCAGAAATTCCACCATCCACATAGTACTATATGTTTAGAAACAATAATACAAAATTATTTTGTTCTCTGACTTCCGTAGACTGTCCTGCCCCCCTTGGCGTAGTACTACCTAATTATTACATTAATGGTGTGCCGCTGAGTCTTTGAGGCTCTGGACTGGTTCCAGACAAAAAGGGATGAAATAAAAAATATTGTGAGTCCCCTGCTTCAGGAAATAGTTGTAAAAATAGGAATATTTTTTTAGTCAATAAGCAAATAATATGTATATATTATGGCTTACCCAAGAATATCCCTCACTTAGACTGTCAATGATTCGAGTATAGCTTTGCACTAAAGCTTGATCAAGAATATTCAGGGACTTGGGGAAAATCAACTCTGTTACAGAGTCAAACTGAAGCAAAATATACCCCTCTTCCAGCGATACATGTGCATCCCTGTTGTTGAAGCCCCACATACCCATATAGCAACTGTGTGAGAGTGGGAGTACCCCCTACCCCCCACCCCTGGCTATTCCAGTCTAAACAGCTTGAAAAAACCAAAAAGACACCCTTTAATTCAGAGCTGAACATACCCCCAGCCAGTCTACATTGCTGT